GGTACTATTGAGATATGCTTTAATGTCCTTAATCGCTTCTCTAAGCACATTATGTTGACGAAGCTTACTCAATGTAAATACAAGCTGTCAATATAGATGAGCTGTTTAACCCGCTCAGAGTTGTTGGCAGAAACCTAAATGATGTCTATCACTTATTCTTATTATCAGACTTTTTAAAGTTCATTAAAGCAACTTTGCTTAATATGCGCGATTTACCTATGTCATACTTAAACTAACATTTCATTCTAAATATCTCATTTTTTTTATTTAAAATCATATTGTGTTGTTAACGTGTCGGCTGCCAAGCTTATGCATGTTTTTAATGATTCAGGGGTTCACTTGCAACCTGGATCTGTTCTTGCTGCGGGTGTGCTTCTGTGCTAGCTGTGTACATTCCTTTTTTTTTATTTTTTTATTTTTTTTTCTTTCTTTTTATTTATTTATGCATGAATTATTATTTTTAACTTTTTAATTTATTTTTAACTTACTTTGTTATTGTTATTCTTTTTATTGTATACTAGTTTTTAAAACAATTCGTATAAGATTTTCACTTAAAATGCACTGAATTCGACTGCAATTTTTTTTAGTTCAATTTCATGTATAAATGGGTAAAATAAAACATAAATAAAATAAATAAAAATATATATAAATCCCGTGTGTTCTCGGGCCAATTTCTTATTTAGAAGGTTTCATTCCTTGAATGTCTATATGCACATTCTAATAAAACTTAGAGTGGTCAAAGCTTTAATTATGCCACTTATAATATATGCCGTAGAAGTTTATAGTTCCACGAACACTTCGAACCTAAGGAAATAAGGACTATTATGTATTCGTATAGTCAGATTTCTATTCTCCTACATTTTCTGCTTTATTCTGTTTTCTTCATTTTATTAAAGTAAGACTTCTTCTTAACCTCTACAACATTATTCTACGGCAGGTGTCAAAGAATTTTTTAACAGGTCTTTTCGTAAGAGCCTTCTGTTAATTCCTTTACGTTGCCAGTTACGTGTTCTTTTGATCGAACCCTTTCAGGTAAGAGTGATAAGAATTTATAATTCCCTGCCTAAGGAGTTGCGACAAGTTATATGCTCTTATCTCACTTACAAACGTAAGCTTTTAATCTTCGCCACTAATAATGGAATTAACTAGTGGACTAGTTACTTAGTATTAGGATGCTGATGTGGTAGCGGCATGGGTCATTCCCTTGCATAATACTTTAGTTACAGTCTTGGTCCCTGTTTCTTTTTGCAATTTTTTGTTTTATTTACCTTCAATTTCAATTTCTTCTCCTTTCTATTGCTTAACATTTTTTTTAGTTTGCTTTATTATTGCATCCATGTCAGACATTGTAATCTATTATAATAGGCCTTGATGGCGTTGAGATTACATAAATGTCAATAAATAAATAAAAGAAAGGAAAAAATATACGTATATACGAAATAAAAGACATGTAGACAGAAATATAAGTGTATGTTATTTTATATTGGTGGAGGCTATTCTTTTTCTATTTTCCTCCTATTATATTTTACAGTTATCTCTTAATTACAGAATGAAGATATTTCAACTCAAAAATATCACAAATCTCCAGGTGGACAGTAAAATAGGCATATATACAGAAAATTTTAAATAATTCAAGCTTTTGTACTCAAAAGTAACAGTTTTTATAGAAATCAATTCAGACTGTTCACAGCTGTTGAGTCTCTATTTATCTAGGCACAAATAGTCTCTACTGGGACTTTATATCATTTTTTTTTTGTGTCTTTTTCCCACAATTTTTTTCTATTGCCATAGGAAACTTTACGCTTTAGTTTTTCCGAAAGAAAGGGGCCGGGAGAGTGACGTGGCCATTCAATTACACCTAAGTTGTTCTCCCGCAGTCACATTTCCAGCAAATTGGATGAATCTTTCAGATTAATAAGCTGCTGAAATTTGCATAGCAGTGGCACACCTTCGTCTGCATAAGGTAGCATTAAAATTTCCAACAAGTTTTTATGTACAAATTTATCTATGAGATGTATCGAAGCGATACCTTGCTAAGAAAAATAACCCCACAGCATAAGGATTCCTTCGCCATGCCTCAATGATTTTTAGCAAATCTACTGTGAAATACTCTTCCTTTTAACTGACGTACAAGAAGTGTTCAAAAATAAGTTGAATTTTTAGCAGGTTCGGAGCAAAGTTTGATGCCATTACTTTCATGCCAAAAATATCTGAAAAGATTGCATGGCATGAGCCAAACGATATGACGACATCCTCCGCAAATTGTCCAATAGTTATTCAACTATTCTACATAACAATTTTCCTCATTGCTTTAACATTTTCATCGGTGGTTGACTTCCTGGAGCATTCTAACGGACATCGCCATTAATATGTTTTCGACCTTCTGTAAAGAGCTTGTACTACTTATAAACATTATTTTTTGCTTAAAGTGGAATTCACACATGTCTCCATTATCATTTTAAATGAGTTAGAGCACTTAATTTTATTTTTTTTCTTCATCAATTTTCTTCGATAGCAAAAAAAATCGTCAAGCCCATCTTTATATGTGTCATAAACAAACTAAAAATATAAATGTAATAATGTAGCCCCCAAAATTTGAAGTCATCTTTTTTTAGCTCTCCTCGTACAGATGTATATGGCAAAAATATTTTGAACTATCAAATAAAATGTGAGTTTTATTTAAAAGGAAACAAAAAAACATGGAGCTTATCACGGAAAGGTTATTTTGAATCTTAATCATCCTAATTCTTAAAGGCATACAACCCAAAGATAAACAGACTACAATTAGTGCAGTCTGATTATTTGCCACAATTTTCTTCTTTTCAGTTAGGCTAGAAATAAAGCCAATTCGATTACATTGCTTAATTCTCTCTATTTGACATTAAATATACTAGTCTCTAGTTAAATAAGATTTTCCATAAAGCAGACAAAAACAAGCACATCCTTCCATAAGAGACGAACACTAAAAACATTAACAAATACATTACAATTATAACTACTTGAACAAATAAACCAAGTGGGACAAAACCCAATTTTCAATTTGACATTCAAAACCATAGCATATATGGCTTTGAACGATGATGATAATAATAATGACAATGATAATAATGATTATTCTAATTATTATGTCAATTGTTATTAATATCACAAAAACAACTGAAGAGAAAGTTGGAATTAAGTACAAACTAAGAAGAAAGCCAAAAAAAGGCCAAAAAAGGAAAAAACTACTCAAAACAGTAAAAAAATATCCTTACCCTCGAGCGTATAGTCAAAATCAGAATATACATAAAAATTGCAAATAGAACGAACTCTTGTTCAAGCTTACACTAGAATACTATACAATGACAACAAAAATAGCAGAAAGCTTTTGCTTATTTTGCATAGTAGTAGTTTTAACAGCGGCAGTAAGAGAAAGCTTAGAGAGATAAAGCTTAAAATTGCGGAAATTTTTTTAAAAAAATTTAAAAAAAAAATCGTCATCTACGCAACGCGAATCAAACGGAAATGGGCATTATTTACGCGAAACTTATACATGTAAGCGTAAACAATGAAATGATCGAAAATGTTTATCGCAGTATTGGAATTCACAATTTACTATACAAAGTTTTTTACAAAAACTAAATAAATAAATAAATACAATTAGTAGGAAAGTTACATTCGACTGAGGCCGAATCTCGCATATTCATCACGATTGGAAATATTTAGCACCCCATGCTTTTATTTATGATTATAAAAAATTCAATGGGATAAAATTGATATTTCACCTTTTAATTCAGTAAAAGGTGTTGTTAAAAAAAAATTAGTTTAGCATGTCGCGACATTGAAATTAACAGCTGAACTTAGCTTGTCACATTCTGTTCTCTCTTTTTTCCGAAGTCCGTTTATTTGATATAAACCATAGCGGTGGCGTTGCTAAAAAAAATTAATCCACAACATCGGTTTGTCCACACTCATTTTAGAATTAACGCGCCTTCAGACAGATAATATATCTTCAGCATAAAACCTCAAAAAAAAAGACAAAATTTAATCACTTATAATTTTATGGGAGCATTACTGACTTTTTTCATTTTTGTACATAAACAGTAGGTGTTTCTGAACAGTAAATGTAGAAAATTTCAGACTTCCAACTCTCATAAATTGTAGATAATTAGCAGAACCTCACCAAATTTTTGCGTAGAGAAACAAAGTTGAGTTCAATTTACATTTTACTGCGGCCGTGTGCTCTGACCAATTTGGCTCATTTTCAATATGAAGCTGTGTACAAGAATTTGCAATGCTTCTGCCAAATTTTAAGTCGATCATTTCATTTTTGAGGCCTTCGTTTAGATAGGCAGGCGGACAGACGGACATAATTAAATCGATTTAGAATTTGATGTTGATCAAGGATGTAAATACTTCTCTATAATAAATCTCTGAAGATTCGCTCGGGGCGTGGCAATCGTTTTGGTAAATTGAACATACCCTCATCTTTGAACCTTGTGATGGCTATAAAAATAAATTGGAAGAGATGGTAAAGGCAAACGGACAGATTGATTAAGGAAATGATTTTGAATTTTTCCTCGAATGAAAAATGCAATGCAATGTTCGCGTTTTTCCAAATGCAAGAAAATGCGCTGAAAATAGTCCAAATCCGAGGACCATCTTTTCACATTTGAGAATGGGTAAAAAACATTTAGTTCAAGTGAAGAATTATATTAAGACATTAATACATGAAAGCCAGTTTTTTAAAAATCGAAAAAGAAAAAAATCAAAACAACATTTATCCTAATTTTTTCCTGTAAATTTAAGCATAACTTTCTTAGATAGTATATAATTTGCTTTCGTTTTACTATAGTTACTAATATTTCGTATATAGTTCTTTACCAAAGGGTTACGTATCCGTTACGTCAATTATAGATAATTTTGTTAGTGTAGTTAGTTATAAATCGCGAAATGAGTGGAACCCATTCTGATTCGTTCGTAGCAATTCGAAATTGTTTTTAATCATTGGTGCGACTTACCTTCTTTAATATTTGTGCTATTAGCAAAGTTTGGACACGGAATTGAGCGCGCAGCACACAACTCAGGTGAATCTATGAAGAAATACATACGAAAATAAAATAAAATAAAAACCGCAAAACAAAACACGAAATATGACAAAAATTTAAATAGAAAATTCAAATTAGAGCAAATTAAACGAAAACCTTGCAATAACCATTAAGTCCAGTCATTTTTGATAGCTTAAACTCGCACAAACACAATTTATTATCATGATTTTTGTACATTATACAAAATAGGTTGTGTAGGTGAGAAACTTTTTTACCCAAAAATCAAAGAAGAAGAAGAAGGTTTAGGTAAACTACGCTGGCCGTTTGTAGACTAGAACGTGCTCCATTATTACTGAGTGCGATTATTTTCGTTGAACTTGTCTAAAAAGTTTTTTCTCAACACACTATTGAACTAACTAAATTTTATCAAATTGTCTTAAACGATTGTTATTTTTAAAACTTAAGAAAAGTTGTAGTCATTGCTTAGTGCAACCGATCATATCTATGCATAAATTTATAACCATGTGTCCTCATAGAACCCTTTCTATACGCCTTAGTCAATAATCTGTAGTTGATTTTCTGAATTTTAGAAGAAGATAAACTTTTAATGACAACTTGACAAATTAAGAATATTAAGGGATGTTCCATGAAGATCTTCCATATCTTCGCGATACATGCATGTTATGCTTTTTTTATGTACAGTCAGAAGTCACCGCTCGCGCGCAGATATTCTTCTGATTCTTAAAGACCTTCAAAAATCTGAACGTTTCATTACTTCAATTGTTCGGTGACGCAAGATGCAAGGTTTACATTTAGTGACGCTTTCGCCGAAACAATTCAATCCGTCTGCTCTGAGTATACCCAATGATCGCTACTATTTCCTTGAAATAAGATACCGTTTGCGCTCGGCATCTGCCAAGCAATAATTTATGTTCGGAGTCAGGTCGAACGATTCGTTTTGCTTTTCTAACCGCAGTTCTCTTTCGTACCCTTCACAGTCATGATCTTCTTCAATGTTAATTGCATTTTCGGAAATGTTTGAGCCGTCTGCCGCGTTTTAATCATTCTATTTTTTGATTCAACTTCCTGGCATGACAAGCTTCACCCCTTTAGATTGTCCAAAATCTAAACCTCAGGTTATGTGCCTCTCAAGGTTTGGCTTTCTTAGTTATCTTCAAATATGCAGCTATGTGGCCAGTGTTGGAATAATATCAAATTTCTATAGCTGAGTTGAGCCAACCAGTGCTAGTTAACTGAAAAAAACGAGGCAAGTTTCGGAAATCAAAAGCTCCAAGATGTAATATCACAAAGAACAGATATAGATCGATATATTTATCTCTAATATTCAAAACGTAGTTCAATTTCGTAAATGCCACGAATGTCATGGAATACTTTCACAACATTTCGGCACAATTTTCAACTTTCACTTAGTATAATGTATTCGAGGTATGATAAATGAAATAATAGCGAAAGGAACAAACCTTTGTAGAGATAGATCATCGCAACTTGTAGAAATAATTCCTATCTTAATAAAGTCTTACTGATCTGCACCATGGATGGTGTAGAATTTGCAATATATATATATATATATATATATATAATAAATATTTTTATTTTTGATCCAAAACCTTTTCTTTTTTTTTCTTCATTTATAGAAAAACATTAATTAATACAAAAAACAAATGTTCAAAAATATGCTATGGGGAACACACTATAGCGATGAACGGACCTTACGTGTTCATCAGTTTTCCGTAAGTTTTCATAATGTTTACTGCGTACCGTTACATTGAACAGATTCCAATTAACTTTTGCTAAAGAATTCAGTTCGTATTTATTTAAATACTGCAGGAGATTTTCATATAATTCAACGGGCATGGCATCTAACGAAGGATAGATATGAGCCTGCATCCAGCTCAAGTGCTTATTGCGCATCGGCACAAATAGCTTGTCCCGCAATATAGTAGTCAGTTCGGGCATTTTGCAAAAACGATGAAACGATAGCTTAACATCGTTCTCTTCATCAAGTACATAGCGCGATATCAAGAGCACTGTGCTGAAGCCCCCAGAATTCAAACAATTTGCCGGCGATAAGGTAACTATCATTAAATCATCGCAAACAGTGGCGGTTAACAAAGCATATATCTTCTCTGCAGTCACCTGTCTATCATCGACAACAGAGTTTAATTTCATGGTGAATTTTTTTTTATCCGGTGTCACGGTAAAAATTGGCTTTAATTTACTTAAACGTTCAACATTTTTCGAATGAAAAGAACTGGTCGACGACAATGGTGATACCATAGTCTGAATATGATCAGACTTACACATATAACCCGATTCTAAAGCCACTGTATAAATAAGTACAAATAGCAGATCGAACTGATTTAATTGCGACTCGTTGAAGTGATTTAAAATATTACGTAAATGTAATGGAGCACAGTTAGTCGTAGTATCCGATAAGAGAAGATACTGCACTTTATTATATTCCGGTAATAGCGAAGTGAGACGTTGCTGCTTTTGTAGTGACTGTACTTCGTGATTGATGACTGCAATTGAATGAAAAAAGAAGAGAGATGAAAACAAATGCAAATTAAATCCATTTCAATAAGAACGCAATAAAAGTCAAAGTGCAGTTGTATACAATTATATGAATGCTTGGAAATGTGTAAAAAAATAATTAAAAACAAATTAAAAAACCTGCTGACCGTATTCATTATATTCAAAATCGTACAACTGCAACGACCACTTGTTTAACAGTTTGGTATAAAAACTAACGCAAATTTTAAACAAACTTTTTACACATATCTTAGTAATATTAGGTGCTTGCAACAATTTTGGCCTGAGACTTGTACAGTTAAAAATGATAATGAAATAGAAAATACCAGTGTACATAATGATTAAATTTGACGAATTTCACCTCTCTTTGCCTAAAATAACAGTTTTCAATTTAGTATCACTGAGATATCCAATATATACAGGCACTAATAATTGAACACTCAAAGTTGTATTTTCGTGATTGATTACTTTTGTTGTTTGATTTTAAGAGATCTGCTAACGAAAACCATGAAACATTTTACAACTTAGGGTGATGTTGCTCGGTCATCTCGCAGACGTTGATTTTGGTTTTAACGGCTTAAGGGTGATGAATTTGATGTCAATGACACCGAACGGTATGGAAGAACAAAAAATTTCGAAAACAATGAACTTCAAGACTTATTGGAAGAAATCCTATCTCGATGTCTCCAAGAACTTTCGAACGTCGCAGCCTTTGACGAATAAACTGTTTCTAGACGATTACATGCGATGGGGACAATTCAAAAGGAGAGCACAAATTGACCGACCGCACTAATTGACTGAAAATGCTACTTCAAACCGTTTCAAAATCGCGGTTTCATCAAGCTTATCAAGCAAAAAACGCATTGTGAATGGCGGTCAAGAAAGGATTTACTACGAGAATCCCAAGGGTAACAAGTCGAGCATTAGTGCAGGAGCTGTGCATATGGTGACATCAGCAAGGTGAAGTTTATCACGAGCTGTTAAAACCTTATCAAACTGTTACTGCAGATGTCAACCGACGTCAATTGAATAAATTGAACGATATATTGCTGGAAAAAAGAGCAGAAACAGAGTTTAACAAATGCGGTCACCCTCTTGCATGATAAGGTTCGGCCACACGTTGAAAAAGTTGTCAAAGATACACTGTTGCAGATCGAATGGGAAGTTCTGCCAAAGCCAGCTATGTCGCCTCCTGATTACCACTTGTTCAGATCGTTGCAGCGTGGTTTGGCTGGCATGCTGTTCCGCAAAATTGGAGAAGTGCGAAAATGGGGCGAACACTGGATAGTTGCCAAAGCAAAACGGTTCTACCAACGCAGTACCGACATACTGTCAGAAAGGTGAGAGAAAGTTGTAGAAAATGAGCGAAAATATTTTAATTCATGTACATTGTATCAAGTGAAAAAAATTTGCCAACATTTTTGCATGCACCTCATAATTTTAACAATACTATTCTTAACTAATTTCCTTTTGACTTTTTTTAGCTAAATGTTAATAATTTTTTTTTTCACATTATATTACAAAATTTTGAACTGGAATGGACTTCCCATTGAAACAGATCTACGCAATTACAACCACCATAATCTTTTAGAAAATAAACGGCATAAAAATTGTTCAGATCGGATCAAAACGGAAATTCCCAAAATTTTAGGAAAATAATAAAAGCAGATTAGAGATTTTCGATTTCGAGCCGTAAGTGCCTTATGCAACTGATTTCATAGAAAATAAAAATGGGAACCGCGCTTATAAGAGAATTAATAAAAAACATAAGAATAAAATGTGACACAAGTTACAATCGTTGAAACTTTATAATAAGCAAAAGATTTCTTCAAGACCAATGAAGTCAACAAACAGTAATATTCGAACAAAAACGTGGCAGGAGAAATGTAGTATTTCGAAACTGAAGTATTGTTGAAAAAAAGTTCACGCAACTCTATAAATAAACTCCCATATATATATATATATATATATACATAACATATATAATATATATTATATATATAATCAGTGCGACATCCCGAAAGAAGTGAGACGGGCCCACCGTTTATTAAACCAATCGATGCAAAATTACTTTCTGAAAAAATCTAAGTTTGCTTGCCCGTCTGTCCGTCTTGCTCTCTTGCGTTTACGCTCAGGTCGCAAACTGACCAAGCTTTGACCAAGAATAGCCTTGATGATGATAAATACTTACGGTTACGTAGGATTCAATTCGTCACCCGTTCAGATTTAGAAAACAGCATTTTCTCATATAAGTATAATGGAGTTCCAGTGAGAATGAACTCGTAAAGAAGAATTAAAGAATTCCTGATGTTGAGAAGATATTTGAATATCAGAATCCAAAATCTTGCGTTGTACGTAATAGCTTAACTGCCAGCATACACGTCAACAATTTCAAACATGTATTTATCGCAAACTGCGATTTATGTCAATATTTTAAGAAAGTTTTCATCGAGATCGAACTGTAATTATATTTTGAACATGAAAAGATGACGTGTATCATAACGCACACCCTAAATTTATGAAAAGTTATGCGCTGCTAACGAGAAACAAGTTCTGATATTAACAAGCCAACTGTCTTTAACGGTTTCCCCACATGATGGAAATACTTTGTCTGAAAAATCTATAAAACTACATTTTCCTCGTGAGAATGTCTTATCTTTAAAGCTTACGCAGCATCATGGGGCCTGACACAAGAAAGTCTGGGAGACACATTCAATTTGTAAATTTTATAAATTTATAAATTATATATACATGATATAAACATTCATAAGCTAAATATATTCCCCAGAGAATACCACGCTTAGTTTCCGTGAATTTGGAAGAAGTCTTTTTCAAGCAAATGCAAAACGTGGAGGTTATTGCTCTTTCGATTTAATTTAAAGGGACAAAATACTCAATAGTGACCAGTGATGAAATGCACGTCAGGTTGCAACGACGATATCCGCCCATGGACGGTATGCCCTACATCCGTCGCATTCCTGTTTAATGAGGCTGCTTAAATATAGTGTATTGTGCTCCTGCAATCCAAAGAAACCACCTTTAAAGAACCTTGCACGACGACACTTAACCTTATATCGCAAAAATTTGACAGCACTGAACTGCAGCGAAGTGCCGCCCCTCTTGTATTCATCAGACATTTCCCTTTCTAATCAAAATCAGTTTAATTCGATGACAAAGAATTCATATTCAAACTCATATTCGAAAAAATTGTTTCTTTTGTAGATGGTGTCAGAAGGCCAAATATGGTTTCTAGAAGAAATTCATAAATTATTAGGAAGAAACGTGTATATACCAACTGACAATGCTTTGGATAAATTATCTTTTAACGATTTATCTTAAAAGAAACCATTGCGTATTTATTTTTATAATTTTAATAATTCGAGGGATTTACGCACGAACGCTTGTTAATTAGATTAGCTTTGATATTTACTTGACCTTTACTTGACTATTCGTTCATTTACAGTATTATAAATGATTGCATTTGTAATTTTTGACCGATCACTTTTTCCGTTTTAACAAACTTTAAAGTAATCCTAATAGTTGATAAAGTATTCATCACAAATTTCATAGGTTGCAAGCTATGAAATATTATTTTCAAATTGAATTTTTGCAATTATAAACGTATTTTCTGGCGAATGATATCCGTTGTGAATCTCAACCAGATTGGGGTTTGCGTACGGACTCGCTTGACATAATTTTGCTGACAATATTAGTGACACTGCCTGCACAAAAATTTTTTACACTTCGGCTTTGCTTTTAGAACTTTCTTACGAAGTGAGCAGGAAAAATCAAGCTCGAAGCAAATGGTGTACTTTATTTGAACCCAACATTGAAATAACTATGTCGCGTACACTTATCCATGATTTTTACGTGAACATTTGTAGATATATACTTAACTTCGGTTTTCCTGACGCCCGGAAATAAACGGCGCTTCTGAACGAGCAGAAGAATCCCCACCAGGCCCGACTATGCGTGTAGTACCAGAATGGGAATATGATACGACCAATGGCAAAGTTAGACGCATTTACATCTCAATATTTAGGGCTCGCACGATTTTAGTATAACCACAACCACCACATTATTCTCCGAAAGACCGGAGCTCGGAGCTATGCAGCACTAAGATTTTTGTGTTTGGAGTGCCATCCAATTTTCTTTCCTTGCATTACTCTCGATTGCTGCTATAACGAACGTTTTCCGTCGCCAAGAAAACTGCACCGAAACTATATATTATCTAATGTAAATCGCTAAAGACAGTACTATAGCACGGCAAACTCACAGCTCTATAGGATGTAGAGCGCCACATAACTACCAATAATACCAATCCTACCAAGCCGTACTATGGCACATTTGAAAGATGGCTGTCCGCATTTGAAAATAAGCCAACAGCGGAACATAGAAATAACAAGCTAAGTGTCACATATAATAGTTTCTAAAGAAAATCCATGAAACTTACGAAACATATACCAAATTCCATTGCCCAGAATTGATGTCTTTTATTGCTTCGGTGAAAGCTTTATTGTTTTGACGTCTCTTCAAATTCAAAATTAATAAATGTTTCATAAGTAACTGTAACTTTTTTACTTTTACATAATAATCTCCTCTTGACTCTTACATTTTTTATACATATTAGGTCTGTTTTAATTGTGTTATATCCGAATTTGCCCATTATTATATATTCATCAAAGAAATAAGAGGTGTTGACTAACTAATTCTGAAGTATATCTGATATTCTAGCTGTCAATAAAATTTACCTTTTAATTTGCTAGTTTCATTCAATGATTGATTATCTTCCATAATCGATTTGTCACCAATACGCTGGTTTCCGCAATCTGTAGACATAGTTAATTCAGTTCCACGATAGATTCTTATTTATTTTTGTATTTCACTTCTTTCATAATAGACAGAAGAATATGAAGAAATTTATTTCAAAAGTTTGATAATTTGTGAATTTTTTTAGTGATGAGCACCATCGATTATTTTCGCATTACTTTTATCTTGAAGCTCATCGGATTTTTCAGCTTTTTGTAAATACGGCAATCAGAAAGATTATCGTTAGCTCGGTTCGATGATATCATTAAATGAATGGCTCAAGTCAAATCCATTCTCAAGTCGGCAATAGTCAAATGTCCGAACATATATATATGTATTATATATAGACATTAAAATGTAGTTTTGATTATGAATCATAAAAAAATTGAGATAGGACAAGTGTCATACATCAAAAGATTGCATTAAATAGAACACAAAACGAAACATCAGAATCATTTTAAAGGAAAAAACTGTATTCTTCGTACTATATTTATTGCTACATTTTTGTTTTTTTTTTCGATTTTTGACTTGCCATGTACTCCTACAATCATTACAACCATTAAAACACTTTTTATCTCCTCTTTATTTAATTATTACACTACTCTAAAAAGGTAAACTTGTTAAAGTTAGAAATTTTACATTTTTGACTTATTCTCTATGAACGAAAAGGTATTCTGGAAGAATTCTATCCTTATTGAAAGTAGTATTTCATTTTTAAGTGTCTTAGATATAGTAGATTTCTCCGATCACTAGTAACTCATTTGTAGTTTAAACGACTCTTGGGCGAGTTGACTCGCCCGCCCATTTATTTATTCTCTCAAAAAATTAGAATAAACAATTTGGACAGTTTTTAATATGTAAATGTTTCGCTTCTCCTCAATAGTTGCCATCCCTAACTTCATAATATATTCACACGTTTTGTATGAGATCTCCACGCACATATTATTTGTTAAGTGTCTATTGTAATTTCATCAATTGCACTAACTTTTATCTATTATACTTATTGTGAAAGAGTACGAGAGTAACATTTAAACAAAGAAATTATTAAAAATAACAAAAACAGGAAAAATGTAGTCTGGCTAAAAAAATATGACAGTTCTTCGAAAGAATTGTCAAAGAGGGTTGCAAAGATAAGAGATTTTAATAGGAATTACCTTAGCAGAACAACAATTGATGTTCAATGCGTTAATTAATAAAAGAAAATTTTGTTTCTATTCATAATTAACGCAAAGAAATTTCACATATTGAATATTAATTTAATTTAATAATAAGGGAATGTCGAAGGATACGTATCAAATTGCAATAGAGATAGAATCCGTTCATTTCCTAGCTCAAGTAGTCAACGTATAATTTAATATAACATAAAAACCATTTTTTCTGATCTACGAAAACAACTTTTATTGTAAATAAAGTCATTAAGTGATTATTAAAGACGGTTATTGGTATGACATAAGTTAAGAAAACTAACTGACAGCACACGATACGTTTCCTATTAATTGATTTACATATGCTACCAATTTTGTCAAATGATTGCTTTCTTGATACTGTTTGGCGCAGCAATTGATTGTCAAATTTTTAGAGTAAAACAAAAGTATTATGAACTAGTTCAATTGCCCTATTTAAAAAAAAGCGAGAGAAAGGAAATAACTGAAAAGTAACATATATTTTTGATTAATAAAACATAGAAAACCCCGTACTAATTGCTTGCCAGATGCCCAGAAATTAGCTCGGCGAAAGGCAATACAAAAATCTCTTCTTTGCACATTTTAAACAACAATTGATTTTCTTCAATTGATATTAGTTTACAATTTTTTGAGAATGGAATAGATAAAAAAATGCATTTCCACATTCCTAATCGAAATTCTATAAAATAAATAACTTCATAATTATAGTCTACCCTCACTTTCAAGTAAGTAATTTGTTTGTAGCTTGTCACTGTGTTTAATTCAAATAAAATTTGAAAGTACGGCAACGCAGCATAGTAGAATATCACAGAATTTGTTTGTCATCTTAAAAGGTAACCAGTCATAAAATTGTGAAGTTAATTTCTTTCATAAAAAGAAAGGAAGAAAGATGGATTATTTGAGTATTGAACAATTTCCGGATTACAAAGTGCCCGGTGTTAAACATCAAGATTTTCAACCTTACGAATCCAACGGAGGGTTAGTTAGCTCTACTACTCAGAAACTAAGCGAGAAAATGAGGTTAGCATTAAAAAATCTTGTATATTTATTTCAGTTCGATTGTGGCCATTGCTGGCAATGATTTTGCAGTTATTGCGGCTGACTCCCGTTTATCTAGCGGTTATACTATACACACGCGCAATGGAAACAAACTATTCCAACTTTCGTCTAATGCAGTTTTGGGTTCAACTGGTTGCTGGTGTGACACTTTGGCTTTGACTGCTTTAGTTAAAGCTCGCATGCAAATGTATGAACATACGCATTCTAAGACTATGTCCACCGATGCTACGGCTCAAATGCTTTCAATTTTGATGTATAATAGGCGTTTCTTTCCGTATTACGTATCGAATGTACTTGCTGGCTTAAATTCCGAGGGTAAAGGAGTGGTATATTCCTACGATCCTATAGGGCACTTCGAAAAGAGTAATAGCAGAGCTGGCGGCTCGGCTGGAGCTCTCTTGCAACCAGTACTAGATAATCAAATTGGTTTGAAGAACATAAAGCTGGAGCATATTGGTTTCCCTGCAGAGCTAACTAAGGAACGAGCAGTGGCCATAGCTAGTGATGCTTTTATATCTGCTACGGAACGTGATATATATACTGGTGACTCTGTTCAAATCAATATCATTACTAAAAGTGGTATAGAGGTCAAAGAATTACAATTGCGCAAAGATTGAAATTGCAACGCGTGTGTATTTAATATTTAAACAATTTTTGTGAATCTTTATAAAAATTTTTAAAGGATGTGAAATAAATATTAAGAGAGTATAAAGTTATAAACATTTACTTGTACAGAAACTGAAAGTTCCTAAATATTCATATTTATGAACTAATCTCTGTCAAATTGGGCAAATGTTAATTTTGATGAGTAGGTTTTTTCTTTAAGTAAACTTTTTTCAATATGAAGTCTATTCAGCAGATTTCGTTTCAAAATTACACATTAGAGTTAATAGCGGTGTGGTTGCAGATCGCGCTGTGATTATTGTAGTGCAACGAACGTTCGGATCGTTTCTTCTTTAAGGTAAATTTTATGATTGTTTTTTTTTTCTCCATTATTATTATATAATAATAATCATAATACAAATCTGTATGTGTTGCGTGAATACCTGTGTACATAAAATAGGTCGGGTTGATAGCTTTCTTCAAATTTTCTTTGCTTTTAAGAGTTTCTCTTCAAGTTTCGCTCTAATTACGTTTTCTAAACCATTATTTTTCTCTCCCCAGATGACTAACACACGAAGAGAAATTTTTTGGCTAAACAGTTTTTCACAAAAACCAACGAAACTATAGATGTTTTGGGGAATTACTTCATTTATATTATTTGGCAGAGCAAATGAACGGTGCGGCTAAAAACAAGGTTTTGGATGCTTTTTTTACTACTGTCGGCTGATTTTTTGTTCCAAAATACGAACGTTTAAAACATAACCATAATCACCGTCGTCAGTTGTCTGCATAATTAATTACTACTAATTTCTTTTGAAATATCTTCAGGTTTGGCCAGAGATACGCTTACCAGCAAGAATGCGTTATAAAACTGCATGATAAGAAGGATGACCGAGCTTATATGTACTTTTGAAGAAACATTCCCGTGCCAAGTATTTTAGATTTCTTTTGTGATTGTTTTTTACGTTATAAAATATAAATTTTGTAAATTCATGTTTTTATTTAAATTTAATTTTTAATTAAATGTTTTTTTTTTTCTTGATAATCAAGTGTTTGTTGTTCTGTATTGTTTTCTATTTCTGTTTATTTCATAGTAATTAATAATAATGATTTTTGTTTATTTATTTAATTTTTATAAATTGTAAGCTAAGTGTTTTCGTGTTATATATGTTGTGTGCCTGTCGTCTAACAGTCAAATTTGTTATTAAACACGTATTACTACTTAAGCAGCTGCCAAGCAGCCGATGGTTCAATTTTCACTGCCACAACGTATCTCCGCCTTTTTATCAGTTTGTTTGTATATGTGTATGGTGTATGTAGGTTTACTATGGGGTGTGTGAATTTGGCATTAGCATGGACCCACTAAGCCTCAGGCAGGGGTTTCAGCTCTTTTATCTGCTTAATCAGATATGCCTTCTCGTCGTTGAATTGCTCGTCTTCGGAACGATCCGTATGGAAGTTAGTTAGGAAATCGACCAATTTGCTCTGGTTACGTAGCAGGATATCGAGTATGGGTTTCGGTTTGTTGGGATTGGCGACAAACACCTTAAATACATGGAAGGCCTCAAACTGAATATTACGCGACTTCTCCTTGAGCATGTTCATCATCAGTTTGAGGTTTTCCGGCTCTGAAATGTATCGCGTCATAACGGTAAAGTTATGCCGGTCAAGTAACAATTCACCCAGCAGCTTTAAAGATTGACGTCGTGTAACATAATTTTCGGAATTCAGGAGGCGTTGATAGTGTTGCGTAAAAAACTTGTCATAGTTGGCCTCCAAAAATTCGGCACACAACAGTTTGTGGCGGGTCAATAGCTCCTTAAAAGTGGAGAAAGCATCCGAGGCTATATCGAATGTGGAGACTTCCACATAACGGAAGAACTTGAAAAACTCTTCGGAGTACAACATTATTTTAGCCAAAGCCTCATAGCGGGCACATTCTCGTAGCATGGTGCCCGAGTTTAGTGCTATCTCCGGATGTGCATCTTCATAACCAGCCATTAGCGTAAAAAGGATTTCTGGCTTTGTACAAATATATTCTACGGTGGGCGAGCGCGTGCCTATTTGTCGCCTCAACACATTGTTGAAAATTAAAGCCACATGCTTCTTACCTTCAAAGTCAATACGATGCAGGTTTTGTATAAGCAATAATAACAAATTACTATTGTATAACTCTTGAGAGAGCTGAGCCACCACATAATCCGCCGGCGGTTCGGAATCACTGCTACCATACAGCATATTTTTTATGCTGACCAGATTTTTACTTACATCTTCCTGAGCCTTTTCTGCCTTACGATCACCGCCTGTCTCTAGAGCATTAATAGCTTCCTTCAGGGACTTGACCAATTCGGCTGGTGTCTTTTGTGATTTTCCAAAAAGAGGCATGCTGTTTAACAATCACTTATTGTCTGGATGGAAATTAAATTAAAAAAAAATCAGATCATAAAATTAGTAACTCCGTATGTTTACTACACTTCCTTTAATGTTGTTATTCTTGTTACTGTCGTTGTTATTACTAACGCTATCCTTAGTGCTGGAGTTTTTTCCACTTATTTTAATTTTTATTTTAAAAAGGAAGAGGGTAGGCTCTTATTTGCTGTTAACGTGATCTTACCTCTTCGCCGTGTCGTCTGCAATATTTGTTGTAGAATGTTGTCTGCCTATCGTCCGACTTTGCTTTTGTGGCTGTGACTGGTTCTGACTATACAGATGTATAGCTTTTCTTCCAAATATTTAAATTGCTCTACTCAAATTCCTTCGATATGTCGCGTACGCCTATTATAGATATTCGATGTCTAATCGATTTCTGTTTATAATGAAAATGTTTCGTTTACAATTTATTAATGCTTTATAAACTTTTTACCAATAAATTTTACAATTTTTCTACGAGTTGCGTATAACTAAAAAAATAGTATTACCAACATTAGCAATCTTTCATAAATTACATGTTACGATTGCCAAGTGCCCGCAAAATCACAGGAATATATTTTTTGTATACTTCTACTTGAAAAAAACATGGGAATTGAATTTACTACAATAAAGTGTCTGGTTTACTGGATTTTTTAAATCAAGTGATTTTACGTTTTATTAATGCGCAATTTTTTGTGAAATAAATGACTTGTTTGGAAGCTAGAAGTCTTATGTGCATAAGCAACAGATAGTCTTGATACTTTGCTTATCGAAGCAGGCTTGCCCGCAAGCCGAGAAAGCTATATGTACAGAATAAAAATGATTACAATATGTGATATAGGGATTTTAATTAATGTTATAATTATTGATATTTGTAAAAATTTCACAACGGTTTACATATGAAATTTAATTTAATAACATACCTTTGTTGTTCCCATTACAAAACGTTATTGGCGAGAAAAAATTTCATCGTTTGTGAAAATTTTGACAAATTTAAGTTTTTTTTATATTGCTTCAGTTTTTGCAAATATTAATTGTAATATGAATATAACAAAATAGTTTGTTTATAATTTACTCCATTCCAGTCAATTAAGGTAAATTAAATAAAGTGAAAATTAAGAATAGTTTTTTTTTTTTTTTGGTATGTTGAACAGAGATGGACTAAGCCAATAGATTTGTGGCTTATATGTCCAAAATTAAAAATAGTAACTCAAAATATAAACAAAATTTGAAGAGAAATAAAATTGCAAAATCTAGTGACAAAATCATGGTCTCGATCTCCTCTATTGAATGTACTTAAAAAAAACCAACTATTTACATCCACGTCTATGAACTGTAAACCAAACATACCTGTGTTATTATAATCATATGATTGTAAAACTGGTAGGTGCTGCCATTGGTTTTATGTTTTTTATATTCGAAAGATCAAGTTCTCACGTACGATATTTGTAAATGGAATATGTATTAATAAAGCTAAGTCACATAAATTCTCGAATCAGGTATAAAAAACCAACTATATAAGAATGTAATAAAAAAAACATGTAAATTGTTACCTATGTTCCGATTTCATTCCCCTGATAAATAAAACTGTCTTTTTATTATGACAAAGTTATTTTCGTATGACAAAATTTTTGGTTTTATATATAATTTTATTAATGTATTTCTTAATGTAAGTTTTTATTATCTAGAATTTTGAGTTTGGTTTAAATAATAAGTCACAATTTTAAAATAGGAGGGGAAAATTTAACTTTTACTTTACTGTTTATTAGTTATATAATTATATATTTGTAGATATATAGATAAATTAGTTAAATATTAACTAATTGTATAATTATTACATGAAATATATTAAAAAAAAAAAAGAAAATTGAAGTTAATAAAAACGTGAAAAATGAAAAAACCTTGCCGCGGCTAAGATCGAATCGACCTTATCCGGTATATAAAACCTAAGGGAAAACAGGTTGAGTTATTTCTGCTTTATGTATGATTATGAAGGCAAATGTTAGTGTTAACATTACACCAGAAAAGCGCTTTGTCTTCGGTCGAAACTTAGTTACTCTAATTTACTCTTTTTGCAGGTGCCACTGGGTCGAAAAAACAATTTTTGTTTTGTAGATTACGTGGCTTGTATTGTAGAGAAATAAGAGTGTCTTCTATAGGAGTTATTAAATAACAAAAGCTGTTTTGAGATTGCCTACCTTTTAACCTATTGAAGGCGGCTTTCAACTCTTCAACATTGAAAAGCTGCGTTCCATCATTTTTCCACTGGTTTAACAACAAACTGAAGAGTATTGTGTTTTCTCATCTCAACTCAAGTTAGGGGAGGGTAAAAACATAAATTTTCTCTAAATGTAAATTATCAGATACACTTTAATTAGAAAGAATATGCATCGGAGAAGCGCATATACTTTTAACCAGCGTCGATGAAAGCGAAATCGATTTATAGTTTGTTGCTCGTCCATTTGCTCAAACCATGACGATGGCCTCAAAACTTTACTTTGAAAGATAAGCTCGATACTACATTTTTTTTTTTGTTTTTTTATCACATCCAAAATATTGATAGTTTTCATTCTTCTTTTGAAATTATGATCTAAAAACTGCAAAAAATTAAAAGCTTTCAAGTTGGCATTAATTCATGCGCAAAAGTCGCACACAATTATCCAAAAGTACGATTTTCAATTTGTGGATTTGCAAAGAAAATGCTGTAAAACATAAAAGAGTATGATTTGAAATATATACGCCATCGGCTCGTTATATTGAGTGAATCGACTTTCTTTCTATTCCATTATCAAATATCAAAAATTAGTTATTTGTGGATATTAATAGTTTCGATTCACACAAGTCCGTGATAATTTCTTTTTATAAATTAAATCACTTCTGGTACTGGGTATACTAAGATAAAGCAAACGTATGTAATACCCAAAAGCGCTTAAGATAGACTCACCCTTTATTATAACCATCTTAACTTGTTTGTCCCTCTATGCTTCTGTTTGTACATGTATTTTGTGGTCAAGCTATACATCCTAACTTTTGAGGTATATTAGCGTGCTTTAACCCAAGGACGAGCGCTGTTGAAAGTAGTTCGGACCGATTCACTTTTTCGATCGCTCGGTAGATAACGCCGTCATAGAGAAAAAAAGTTATAATTTGTAAAATGTTTCGACAAGGGTCGCTTAGTAATAGTATTTCGACATTCTAAATTAGTATGAAAAATTTCGTTCGGTTGTGGCAATTGTTTCAGCCTCGTCTCATATAACTATTCCTACGAAAACCGAATCTTTTGTATAGTAAAAAGGCATTATTTTTAATATTTTAAAAATTGGTTCATAATAGTAAATTGAAAGAAAAAATCAACCTTTCCGAATTTAGACCACGTAGGTCTCTTTTTTGATACTAAAGCATATAAGGATTCTCAGGAAATGTGAGCTCTCATTTGCCAAAAACGCGTAATTGTTAATGTTTTATAATGAAGAATTCATTATAGTAATTTGATGTAATTTGATAGTAACTTAATATAAAAATTAATTGGGTCAAATTGGAACCACATGGGTCAATTTTTTGGGCCCCAATCCGTTAAAAGTTTCTCATTGATAGTAGGCCTTTACTATTTGATGATGAAAATTGGACCAATATATCAAAAAAATTATCGATAGTGAATTTTTATGATCGGGACTGAAAAGTAATAAACTTTTTAGGAATTAAATTAAGTTTGTAAACATTTGCAACACGTTTTGTGAGGTTTGGGTATCCTCCAATAAACGATTTTTCATGAAACTAATGTATAAATTTTGTTTTAGTATCACCAAAACAAGTGAATAACTGTACTAAGCGAAGCGATGTAGGATATCTAATAGTCTGCCTTACCTGACCATAATGTTTTTACTTGTTTTAACATAATAGAAATCTTCGGTAAAGGAAATTTATAGGAATTTAAATTTTATTCTCTTAAATATTGACATTTACAGACGAATGGACTTGCTCTTCTACTTTGTAGGATCGACTCTTACCTTTTGATTAATAACGCTCCTTTTAAATGCGGTTGCTATTAATGAGTTATAAGGAATTTTTGAAGTTTAACTTTATCAATTATTATTGGTCCGTTCATTTTTTTTACGGTCATCACAAAAGAATATGTACGTACTTTATGTCTTTACATGATTCGGTAACAAAATTTCCAAGTGTTGTACATTAAATGAAATTTGCGCCTGCACTTAGCGAGAATGTCCTATCTATAGCATAATAATGGCCGACCTTGCCCGATTACAATGTCCTTATGTGTTTTTTCTTTATATTGCTTTCCACTCATGATGTTTAATTTAATAAGTATTCAAAATTCGTCCTAAACCGAAGATTGTCTTTTTAATTTTCTTCTTTTTTTCTTAGTTATAACTTGCTATTTATGGTCCGAGACAAATTATAATTTCTGAACATTATCACTGCACCTCTATTTATATTTATAAATAGGCAGAGCAATAAACCCGTTTACTTAAAATTGTTTAGAAATCCACTCCATACACTCGTGTAACGTTGTATAGTAAACCCGATGAGCTACTTTATGATAAAGTAATTGGGCAAAAATAAAAGAGGTAGAAGTAGAAACAGAAAACGTTAGAAAACTATTTTTTGGTTGATGTCGGGACTCGGAAAATAAACTTAAACTTATAAGTAATATATCTTACTAACATTCTACAATGTAGTATATAAATATTTAATATGTATGTATAAGTATGTGGAGATTTGTATTTTCTCATTTCGTAATAGTAAGTAAGAGCCATACACATATATTATATGCTATGATTTCTAATTAAACGAAATTCTTGGAATTTATTTCTATTTCTTGCTTTTGTTTTATGTTTTTTTATATTTAGTTGATTTTATTATTATTTGCTTTTGTATTCTTTATAAATATTTTAAATAAACGAAAGAAATGCGTTGCGTTATTTATTGAGCCACTGAAGGAAAATTAATACATAGAAGTATGTATCTTATATTTTGGTTTTCGTTTTTTTTTTTCTAAGTTCCGTTTAAATTACAATAAATTGTTTGGTCTAAAAAGCGGTTAATAATATGTATATATTTATATATATATATACATATACATGTATATATATATATGTATATATATATATATATATATAAATATATACATACATACATACACTATTTATTTCTTTATAAAAATAAGTTTTTTTTGTTTTTAAATTTATTTATAACTCTAAAAATGCTGCACAATACCGAGAGAGGGATTTTCTTTATTTATTTTTTTTATCTTATACACTACATCAAAACTACCCATTGACTAACTTATTTATGATGTCATTTATATGTTTATTCATATGTACTTATGATTATGAGTTTATAAATAATTTTTTGTAAATTATTGTTTCTTTTTTTATCTATTTTTTTGTAACTCTAATATCTTTGGATGTTGTGTAAATGTTTGATTTGTAATGTGCAATAAAGAATGATTTCGGATAAATTGTACGTTCTGCGTGTTTATTATGAAAATTTGAGAGGAAAAAAATACAGAATGTGATTAAAAATGTTATGAAAGAAAAGAGAAAACAGCAAAATGTTTTGAAGATACCAAAAAAAATAAAAAAATGGAAATTTGTATACGTGCCACTTAAGCAACAGATTGACAAAATTCCCTCCAAAAGATATGATGTAAATTGTGTTTTTTTGTAATTACTTTCAAAAAAAAAAAAATTAAACGATTATACACAACAAAAAAACTTAATTAGTGTGATAAGTAAATGCAAGTTCAGTGGAAAATTTTGTGAAATATTATGTATACAGCAAGTTGAGTTGAACCTTGAATGTTGACAAATTGTTTGGATAAGGTAACAGGATCGCAACAATTTTGGGACTACTGCCAGTAAATTTGTTCTTCAAAAGAGAAAATTATGTCTGTTTTCTCTCGTTATATCCTAGAGCACTTGTCGTACAAGGCTATATATAAAAAGTGTGCATGGATGTATGCAACTTTCAGAACTTTCAGAACAGGACTTGAGATAGACCCACCTTTTATTAAGCCGATCGAGTCCGAATCACTTTTTGCATCCGGTTAAGCTTTTCTGTCCATCTGTCTGTCTGTCTCATTTCCTTGTGTTTATCCTGTAGGTCACGATTTGCGAAATATTTTGATAAAATGTGGTACAGTGGCATATTTTGGCCCAAGGAGGAACGCTATTCAAAATAATTCGGATCGGAGTACTTTTTCGACCAACCCATCTATAAACTTTTATTTTAAAAGATCGTTATATAAACGACTACATTAAACGAATTGGAATGGGGTATTTAGCCTATAGTGTTTTCACTTGTTCTTATTTTTTGACTGTGCCGTCTTGGTGTGCGACCAGATATTTTCTTGTGATCACGTTTTTCGGGTTACTACGATCAAGGTTTTTTAATAGTTAACACATATAAAGAAATCAGACGTAGTCCTTCATTTCATTTTTTTAAAAATCCCATACCACCCGTGGTATGGAGTAAGTTAAATTTTCGCGGTGGCATATCATACACAGAGTGATTTGGCCACATTTTTATTTATCGATCAATTCAAAAACTAAAGTTCTGAATGCTTTGAAGAAATTTGGCGGTAACATGTTTTGAACCAAGGACGAATCAGTATTCTACTTCATGTATGGTATTCTATTCTGAAAAGTTTTCATATGAAAATAGTCTTTCTTCTTAACATTTCTTGACAAAAATATGTAAAAAGAAGAAGGAAGTGGTCGATCCTAACTACTTTCAATAGCGTTTGTGCTTGGAGCAAAACATGTCAGTGTTTCCAAATTTCATCGAAGCATCTAAAGGTTGAATACAAGAAAACAAAACAGATAGGTGGTGAGAGGGACGAACAAGCTCACTATAATAAAATATGAGTATGTCTCAGGCCCTCTTGGGTATTGCCCATATCTGCACAAACTTAATATACTCTTGTGCCACGAGTGATCTAGGATATAAAAAAAAAGCTTCTTAGCTTCTTAAATAAATGTGGAAAATTTGAATGGTATGGTATCTCGCGAATCTTCTCCCATACAATCGCTCTTATATAATAAACTGAATCTCTATATGGCGACGAGGTTTTTTACACGGATAAAATTCTTAGTTTTTGTTTAGCACCTAACTTAAAAGTGCAACCGCGCTAGTGTATGGTAGTTAGGATTCGGTATAGAGCGATTATTCAATTTGGTTCAACTTAAAATCGTATAGGAATTTATTGTGTTTCTTAACTTTTTTTTTTTTTGCTTTCCTCTCTTATTGGCAGAAAAAGAAGATTGTGTGTGAGACCATGAAACGTAATAATGGAAGCGCGAGCTTAGAAAGAGAAAAGGCCCACATAATAGGGAATTTACAGTCGAAGTATGCGCACATAGGAAAAATTGTAACTTTCTTGTCGTTTTTTCTTTTTTTTTTGGTGGTGGCAAGTGGTAGATATTTTTATAAAGACGGTCGCCACATTGCTGTGTACCCATTTAAGGACATTTATCTTCAGTTTTATATGTTTCGGTTCTTATGGTTTCGTTTTGGATTAAGAAGTTCTTACTAAACCACGTTAAACTAAAGTCCAAAGCCCATCATTATTATGGGTAATGTAAACCACGCCATTATTAATAGGAATCGGTACACTTGAAGCCCTATACAAAAACAGATTTAAAATTAGCTAATCGAATCACGGTTATCAAGGCACATTTTTCTTTTTCAACGGACAATGTTAACTATTGAGTCATGTGATGCTACAATTGAGATAAATTAGAGCAATTAAGCGTTTCACTTATGTTTAAAGCAAGGCAGAGACAGAATCATACCATTGTAAAGTTTCGTTATTTGATCAGGCCAAGCAATGATCATTTGATCAGCAGTTATATTTTCTTCTTAACAAATCCTCCAGTGACATGCTGGTCGCTTACGTTCATAAGAAATTGAAAGCATTGGATGGATAACTTTGTTCGACCCGACAGCGTGTATATTAGATAAATATCTAGACCAGCAAAGGAAATTATTTGGTCCCAATTTTGTGTCTTGAGGATTTTGGGGTCTTCTCTCCGTTTCTTCTCCTAAACTATGATACTTTTAAATTACATTAATACTTTAAGAATTAAGCTAATTTGGTTAAATTGGCTAAAATAATTAACAAAACCATTAAGGTTCGCTAGTTAAATGCATGTAAAAAAATATATGTACTTGAAAGAAGCTTTAGTTTTTATTATTGTTGTTCTTTGTCCGCGATCAGATAAGATTTTTTGCTCGTTACTTAAAAGTCCCAGCAGATGGAACGATAAAAATTAGCATTTGATTACATTCTGTGTATGATCCGACAGCACAAAAATGCAAAAAAAAAAAATAATAATAATATATATATATATATATGTATATATATAAAGGTCTTCAGTATCCAGAAAAAAGCTTCACGGACCATACATAATCTACATATTATTGACCAATCTCTGTTTTTAATTGTTTCCTTAAGTTACATTCTTAAAACTTTCTTTAAATGCGATAGGTCTGAAGTATGAAAATAAGTTCTTATTTTCCGCAATCGCCCATGGAGGCTTGTCATCTAAGTGCTAAGAATTGATTTTGAAAATCGTATATTGATTTTAAAATCAAGTTTCAAGTCTTGATTTGATTGGTTTTAGCAGTGGAAAGCCGAGGAGCGTTTCAAAGATCAATGTTTCCGCAGTGAATATTTGCAAACTTGTTTGAATTCATCGGTATCTCTCATCAGATCTCTTCGTACGTCGTGTGAATTTTGTAAGACTCTGTGGTTTTGAAAATGCACGTTGTTTACCACATTCACGACTAAAATATAGTTTCTTAAAATGTTGTCGCAATCTCTAAAATTTTAATTGAAATAAATAACCATTACAACAAACAGAAATAGAAAATACAGCTTTTGTGCTTGCTATACTCGCATACTTGTAATTTTATTGGTGAAAGATCCGCCAGTTTGTATAAACGGGAGATCTATTAAGTTTTTGTTCTTATTATGCTAATCGCTTGAGTTCTATGTGATAATCGATATCGGAGGACTATTTGAAAGTTTGAAAATTTTTAATATAAATAAATATACAACAAATAAATAAAATGATAAGTCAGTCTGAAAATTAGAAAAAACAATATATATATATATATATTCATATATGTATACATATATATATTTTTTTGATTAAAAACATTTTACAAAATTGTATAATAATATCATTGAAGTCGTTTTTATTTTTGTATCATAAAATATATCATAATTTGGCTTGAGGAGGAATTAAAAAAATGTTATTATATATGTAAAGATAATTGTAAAAAAGTAATAATCGCTATAAATATAATTTGAAAAAAGTGTTTATATGTATTTTAGTTTACAAACACTATATTATGCCTTAATTGAATAAAATGTTTTTTTAGGAAATTGTTTGAAAAAAAAAATAATATTAATCTTAAATGTTAGAGTAATAATAAAAATAATTTATGTATGAATAGTTTGGTATATGTGGTATGGGATGTGTGTGTGTTTTGTGTATATAAATGCCTATCATATGAGTCTATGTACGGGTCTACGTGTCCGTGAATGAATGTATATGTTTTGCTGTATACATATACTTGTTCGTGTAAGTATGTGTACTGATGTTTGTGTGTCATATATGTCAGACTACTATTGCTAGGATAGATATGGATTTTATATAATTATTTTTTCTTTTAAGATAATTCTTTATGAAATCTACTTAATTTTTGTTTTTAATTAAATATATTTTTTGTTTTTGTTGCTTTATGTGACTAGATTATAGAAAATAATGTTTTTATTTTTGTTGTTCTCTTAATCATTCAGAAATATATATTCTACTTATTTATTATTTTTTAGTATTAATATGAGATTATTTTTTAAGCTTAATTTTATTTTTGATAAGAACTTTATGAAAAAAATTCTTGCTATCCATAAAAATTGTGGTTTTTATGTCATTTTTAATTGGTAGATGATTCTCTGGATATTGCGTATATATGTATGTGTGTGTATGCATGCACGTACATATATATGTATGTATGCACGCATGTATATATATATATATATATATATATATATATATGTGTGTGTGTGTGTGTGTATCTATGTATGTATGCATATATATATATATGTATGCATGCATGTGTGCGTGCGTGCAGTGTAGGCTCAGAGGTTCACACGCAGTCACATCATTTGGATGCATGTATGCTTATATACATATCTGCATAACGTACATAAACGTATGTATCCATAGATATATGTATATCTACACATATATATGTATATAGATCTGTATGAATTTATTTATTGCGTTTAATGAAATTGCCCTCCGAGTCCAGCCACAATTCCCCGCCCGCCCCGTTTCTTAATATTTACCTGTGTAATGCATTGGTTATCTGTTTCAGCGATTGACCGACTTCTGTGACTAAACGTTCATTGTCCTGAACGTTTTTGCTGCCGGCAGACCGTAAACTTTGTGATTGAGTTTCGACGCGTGTTACCAATTCGCGAAAATGAAATTTGGAATGTGGCGGCATGCACTCGTTATCGGCAAATATTACACAGGAATTTTGCAAAATATTCAATTTATCACTTAATTGTAACCATTGGGACGCCGTAATACTATTAACGGGATGTTTAAGATGGCCCTCCAGTAGGCTGACTAATTCCAAAATGCTTTCACGTGAGATTTGCATAGAGTTCAGTGGAGTAGTAGTTAAGGCAGTAGTTGCCGAAGTAGTCGAATTCATTTCGTTTATAACTGTATTTCCGCCACTCGATCTTTCTATCTTTTGACCAACCGGTGTAGCATAAATGGTAAGTTTGGTGGGTTTCAGTGGTACAGCTGGTTTACTGTTGATCGCGCATTGATTAATGGTTGAATTACTTAGTTTGTTGCCGCTGTTGCTACTATTCGAATTCTCCACAAATAATGATTGTGTCATCATCGGGTCCGGCTCACCAGTATCTGTTACAGTGTTAGAACTCGGCTTAATATTATTGGTATTGTTGGTAATGGCGGTGGTTAGTTCTGTGAAGAGTTGCGTGGAAATAGAGTTCATTAAATGTGATGTGTTGGTTGTAGGGGTTGAGCTAATGGTGATGGTGTTCGTGTTAGATTTATTGGTGATACTACTATTTGAGGTATGATTTTTTGTGTGAATGGATGTTGGTGGTGGTGGTGGTGGCGGTGCAGCTGGTGGGGGTTTATTTGTATTGGAATTTGAGTTCATACTATTAATATTGGTTGTATGTGTATTGCTAAGGTTCCTTGGTGATATTGGTGGCATGCTGTTCCCGATATTTGAAGATAATGTAATGCTGGTAGTGTTAGGAAAACGTTGCTGCTGAATTGGTTGCGATGTTTGCTGGTGATGATGTTGTATATTGGTAGTGGTAGGGGTGACGACTACTGCTGTGTTGTTGGATTTTAAACCATATTTAGGGGATAACTGTGCATTGACAGTATTGCTTCCGCCTTGTGCCGGCATGTTTTGAGTGCAGGCATAATCAGGCGTTTGTGTGCTATTTGCAGTGCCTGTCTGTTCCCATAATTTCTTTAAGCTACTAATACTACCTGTGCTTCGGCGTTTTCCATCGCGTTCTCCACTCGTTGATTCATTGTTTTGATTTTGTTGCTGTATTTCCGGATTTGAACAATTGGCATTATTGGTATCAATGGTTTTAATATCAGTCTTTTGTATGGTAGTAGATATTGCTGCTGCTGTTGCTGTTGTTGCTGATGTTGCTGTCGTTGTCGGGGTACAAGCAAATTTTTTCTCCTCGCGACGTTGCAAAGTGTTGATTGATTCCTTCTTGATGTCTTTGCTGTCGCCTCCAGACGTTTTCATAGAATCAGCCTTTGTTTCAACTTTACGCAGGTGTGCTTTAAAATCAATTATATTGGTTTGGTTTTCAGTTTTAATTGTAGGAGTAGGCAATTTTTTCGGTTCCACTTTTTTCAACTGAGCTTTAAAGTTATTAGCAGTAGCTGCACTCGCTGTGCAGCCAGTTTCTTGTGAAGACTTCTGATTAGCAACTACATTCATTGTCTTTTGTTTAGGCAAGTTCATGCTTTCCGCCAATTCACTGACAAGTACTGAGACGGGATCGGCAGTAGAATTGCCATTTTGTATATTTCCACCGCTTAGGCTGACGCCATTGGCTATTTCTTTAGCTTGACGATCTTTAATTTCAGCCATTAATTTTTCTTTCATGGTTAATTCTTGATGATGAGAATTGTAATTACTATTATTAGTGTCTTGTGGCGTCCCCAAAGAGCTACAAGAGTCAGTGGAGGGTTCACGTTTACGTAACGACACTCCAAACCGTGAACTGGCTTCTTCTACACTGGGAGCAGTATTCGATACGTCGTTACAACTGGTTTTTTTAGCTGTATTGGACATAGTGTAGCTGATCAGTGGAGGAGCTGGCAAATCGCATTCCGGTGCTGGTGGCGGTGGCGGTGGCATATTTTCGAATTCTTCGGGCGGAGGGGGTAAATCTAGCGGTGGTGGTGGAAATTCCAAATTAGCTAAAGCTGGCTGCTGATTACGTTTCGGAGATTGATTGTTGTTACTGCCACGGAAAGAACTAAATGTCATCATACTACCGTCTGTGGCTGTACGGTGGCGTTGCAATTTATTCAAACTGGCACTGGCACTATTTTGCATGGTAACTCCGCCCGAAGAATTGCTGCGTATCATCTGCTGTGGTAATGGAGCCGGTGGAGGTATAGCATTTGCTGATTTTGTAGCTAAATTGTTTATAGCTTGACGTCCTATGTGACCATTGGTCCCTGTATTGTTGGTATTGGTCAATTGAGTTGAGGCTGGTGGCGACGGTGTTTCAGAATTATCTTCTAAACTGTCTAAAAATTGACCGATACGCTGAACTTTGGGTAAAGTACCATAACGGTTTACGACACGCTTTACGTTCATCACTTCCAACGCTCCAACTTGTATGGGATGTGTGATAGCTCCGCCACTAACATTGGGTCCACTTCCAGGTCCAGGATTTAAATTATTTGTTTCTTGTCTAACAGCCGAGTGTTGAGACCTTTTACTTTGCCTAGTCTCTAGGCCACGATTGCCCATTACCGGTGTTGGCCGCTTAAAAGATGAGTGAGATTGGTTGCCTCGAGGTCCGATGTTGTTGCCATGCATTGAATGTTGCATTTTCACGTGGTTGGAAGAAATATTTTGTTCCAGACTGTCCCCAGTATGATCCGTGTCGGTATGGTCCCCAGTTGTGTTATCATTTTCCGAATCATAGCGATGTGCCAAATTATTAATATCACGTGTCAGACCTGCGGAGAAGGAAAAATGTGACACATCATAAGCGTTACAATAAAAATAGAAAAGAAGTTGTTAGATAAAAAAATTTCTAATTATAATAATGTTAAGCAGCCCAAGTTTTACAAGATAGAAAAAGCAAAGAAAAGTGTGTTAATGTTTTTATGAAAACTCAACGTTTTTTTAGCAAAGGTCGTTCAAAAATTAACCATTATCCGTTCACCATTACCACCCATTTTCATCATTTGGAAAATATCTGCGAAGATAAACTTTCAGTTCTTTTTAATTGAACAATAAAGACCAGACATGGAATCGAACTAAAATAATAAACAATGCATTTAAATTTAGATAACGGCTTGTTTCGGATAACGCTTTACGTAGCAAAACGCTGTACGTTTTCGAAAAGTTACGCGTGGTTAGAGATTAATTTAATTCAAAGGCAGCTTACAGGTAAATGCAGTGTGAGTAGTTAAAAGAAAAAATTATAAGAAGCAGTAAGAAGCCATTATAATGCCAGTTACAGTTAGGGTCTACGATTAGAGCGAAATGTTAGAAACTGTGTTCGATTTCTTACTGCACTCTTCTGAAATGTTTAAGAACAAAAAAAAAAAAAAATATATGGAAAAATATACCTCGAAAAAAAATATCAACTAGAAAGCTACTGCAAGATGAGGATTTTTTAATGGAAAACCCTGTTTGTTGCTGTTCTTGTTCTTGTTCCCGGGGAGGAGATAGGCGAACAATATTTGTGTTGTTGCTTTTGTTGTTACAATTTTGAATTTGTTTAGAAAGTCTTTGACTATAATTGTCGCTGTTGTGGTAATTGAAGGTAGAAGCGTAATTACTGTGGGATTTACAATTTCTACTTAAGGTGAACGATTTGTAAACAGTTTTACCGTTTGTTGAATGCAACGCATTATCGTCATTCAAGTGACGCAATGAAGAATTATTAGAGGAACTAGCAGCAGTATTATCATCGTCACGATACGTACTATCACGGCTAGTGGAGAGGAGGCTGCAAATGAGAAATTGTTTTCTAAAATTAATCTTTATTTATGAAAAAGGAAGGCAAAGAAATAAAATCGATACCTGGTTCTTTTGGGTGGTGCTGGTGCCTGTTTGCCCTGTTTATTGGTGGTTCGACGCATTTGCACGTTACCCTTACCCTGACTGGAAAATGTACTCAGTTTAGTTGAAGTGGAACCAGTTTCTAAAAATATTAAGATTTTCATATAATTTGTCAATTTCCTGTCAGTGTGATACGTTTTAATTATTTATCTATTTATTTATTTTGGGAAACACTCACCAGACATGGGTGTGCTCGCTTGCTGATCGTGATGACCACCTGGCGTGAGAGCTCCACCACTACCGCCGCCACCACCGCCACCGCTACAGCCACTACTGCCACCTCCTATCCCCTTTTTCGCCATTTGCGGTGTCAAACTTTGTCCGGCAGTGCTTGTCGCTGTCGTGGCTTTTAATTGCTTCTCGACCGCTTCAGTAATCGATGATTCCTGCAGATCGAAGAAAATCAGACGTTCATGTCCATTATTATTATTTAGGGGTAAATTAGTTGTTGTCTTGTTTTCTATACTATATCTATTTTGTTGATAAATTTTAGTATAGCCATGACTTTCATCACTTAGCGGACTAAATTCAAATCAAAGCTCAATGCCATCATCTTCGTATTCATATTCGTCATCACCGTCATCATCGTAGTCATCAATTTCACCAAGACCAACACCAATGTCACCAACATCATTACCACCAACACCACCACCACCATCAACACTATCACCAACACCACCACCACCACCACCATCACCACCATCAAAACCAATTTCCCACATTTCACCCACCTGAAACATATGTTCCAAAGCATGATGTATGCTTTTAAATGTTGGCCTCTCGGACGCATTCCACTGCCAACACTGACGCATCAAATCATATACTTCGGGCGGGCAACCGGGCGGCCTTTCCATCCGATAACCTTTCTCCAGCTTATGAAAAACATCCGTAAGATCTATACCCGGATAGGGTGACATGCCGTATGTGGCAATTTCCCAAAGGAGCACCCCGAAAGCCCATACATCTGATTTGGTGCTAAACTTATTGTAAGCTAATCCCTCGGGGGCGGTCCATTTAATGGGGAATTTGGCACCTGCATGAGCCGTGTAGGTGTCATCACGCATCAGCCGAGCTAAGCCGAAGTCTGCTACTTTTACAAGCTTGTTGTCCCCCACTAAACAATTACGCGCTGCCAAATCGCGATGTATATAATTACGCGATTCTAAATAGCTCATTCCCGAAGCTATTTGTGTGGCCATGTACAATAAGGCGACAGCATCTAAAGTCTCACGACCTGCTGAGCGTAAAAAATCCAGTAAATTGCCATGCGACATGAATTCGGTGATTATGTAAAACGGCGGTTCACGAGTGCAAACACCTTAAACAAAAATAAAAAAAAAATTAAAAAATCAAAGGATATTTAATTTAACATCAATTATTGCAAGCTTACATAAAGCACAGAGCAATAAAAAAAACTCGTTATTCTTCTTAACTTAAATAAAACTTTATTGCTTTCTATTATCGCTTTGCAAATTGTAGTTAGGGAAACTTGATACATTGATGTTTCATTTTCTTTCGTTCTCTTATCTATGGCGTTCCATTAAAAAAGTGACCACGCTATTGGTCATAACATTGGTACTGTCCTTATCATCATTAACTTACCAATTAGTTGCACTAAATTTGGATGCTTCATTTCTTTCATAATGGCTGCCTCTTCCAGAAAGTCCTTAAGGGCCATGGTATCCTCTTTGAGAGTTTTAACTGCCACCGTATTGCCATAACGTTTCCATATCGCTTCGTATACTTCGCCATATTGACCTCCGCCCAATTTATGCTTCATTACAATGTCCGTACGACATATCTCCCACTCGTCCGGTTCTGGACTTAATGGGAATACTGTTGGTTTATTTTGTTTTGGTGCTGGATAGAGAAGCGGTGTAATTAAACCATGACCTTCGTGGGGTACGCTGTGATGATGTACTAGTTCAGCTAATGTATTGAACTTAGCTTCAGCTGTCACAAAAACTTTGCCATCCGGATCTTCAGAAATGCGATAATGATAAACGCGGCCTTCATAACTTTTTTTTTTGTTGTTGAATAATGAGGCAAAGCAAAGAATATTAATTTATATTAAAATAATTGAAGGTTTTATAAACAAAAGAGATATAGAAGATATAAAGATCAACTTATGCTTAAGATAAAGAAAGCTTTTAATTAAAGAGAATCATAATTTTACTTAAATTATTTTAAAATTTTCTATCGCTGGTAGGTTGTAAAGTTATCACACCTGCATATAGTGGAATATAATTTGGAAATCCATATAATTCAAATTTCGTTTTAGTTACATTTTATATAAGTAAGTATAGCTCGCTTTTGATTATGCATGTAAAGTATAGTGATTCGAGCTTTGCTGATATAAATTGTAGCTAAAATCGGTAAAATTTTGAAGTCAGTTTGTTTAGGAAAGAAAGTTTAAAGACATTCTTTCTTCTACTTGCAACCTTTATTGGTTGTTCTTCCTCTTCCATACAATGAAATTTTTAAATCTAAACATTTGTATGAGCAGTAAGCGCCCAAGCCGCAGTAACTTTAGCCAATTGACCGGAGAAACGAAAAAATCAGTATTGCCCTGGTGGCGAGATCTAATATACTTTTCGTCAATTTGTGTAATCTCTGATCGATAAACAAATATGCTCCTATCTGCATAACAGATCATTTAGGTTTCTGTTTAACTTCATCATCCAGGATGAATTTCCCCGTACGCTGACGATATTAAACTGTTTTCTTCCTTCTCCTTGGAATCGCAATCGTATCAACTTCAAATTGACTTAAATAATTTGGTTACTTGCTGGCCGTTAAATTTTATGAAATTAAATCTAAAAAAATGCAAAAATCTCTCTTTCTCAATGAGGAAGTCATTCACTACTGAGTATTTCATTGATTCAGACAATTTAGGAAACGTAGATTCGTTCATCGATTTGGGCATTCTATTCAACCGAAGACTACGGTTTAATTTGCATATTGAGCTCTCTTTAAGTAAAGCTGGGTCCTTGGTAAGTTTCATTAAGAGGTGGTCCATAGAGCTTAAGAATCCTTACATTACAAGAGGGCTACACATGTGCTCAGTTAGACCAATACTTGGATGTGCCTCTGTTGTGGGATCATGTACATATAAATGTTATGTAGATTCAATTGAATCCGTTCAAAAGGAATTTTTGTTATTTGCCCCTAGGAATTTGAGTTGGAGCCAGCTTGTCTTTTTGCTTCTTTATTGAAAATGGATTCAGAAACGTAGATTTATTCTTAGCATCGTCTTCTTAATTAAATTAATTAATGGTACTATCAATTCGTCCACATTACCTAATGAGATAAGCTTTAATGTCCCCAATCGCTTATCTAGGCACTTTATGTTCATCAATATGAGTCAATGTAAATATAATTATGAGTTGTGTAACCCGTTCAGAGTTGTTTGCCGAAACCTAAATGATGTCTATCACGCAATCTCAATATCGGATTTTTCAGTCTACCAAAACAATTTTGCTTAATATGCGCGATTTACTTAAGTCGTACTTAAAATAACTTTCAATCTTAACATCTCACATTATTCCTACATTAATTGGTGTTAATTATAGCAAAGTTAAGCTTTCTTTACGTATATTGAGATGCGTTCGTTATTTAATAACAGAAGAATATTATTACTATATAATGTTAATGAAAAAAAAAATGATGCTCAATATACAAACCGTAAACTAATACTTCGTTGTCCAGGAGAACTTTCACTTTCACGTACTAAGAAACTGCCATTAATCCCTGAACTTAGAAGATATTCGGCTGCATTTCTTGATATTGGCCCGTGATACCAGGAATGTTTTTCAAGGGAATTCAGTGGAGTTACATAATTTGATGGTACCCAACCGACATTGCCGGAATCGGAATGAGCTTCACACCACTCGCCCGATTTATTATAGGATAATATACGAACTTGTTCACCTTTTTTCAAACTCAATTGATTTTCACCTCCGGCCTGAAAATCATATAAAGCTACAAATAATTGTGGATCATCCTCTTCGGGACCGGGTGCTAGTAGATTCTCTTTGGAAGTCCAACGATGGGTTGATTCAAAACCGGATGTCGTTGAACTATGACTTTGACTGTGCGCTTGTGTAGTGGTGTGCAAAGAGATCATATCTTGACCTTGACCAAGCAGATCAGCGGATTCTGCTAGTAAAGCAGTACCAGCCGGTATGTGAGGCAGAGGTCGCGACTGCAAAAGCGCTTCTGAAATTTTAAAACAAAACAAAAAAAGAAGTGGAATACGATGTAAAAAGAGAAGATCAATAAATTATATTTGCCTTAAAAGAGGAATGTTTTATTCTTTTTACGAATATAAACATATATAAAGGTATACATGTAGTTTTACAATAGCCTTGTCGACACTATATCAGGTCTTGTGCATAATGTATTTCATCAATGAATGAACACACATCATAACACAGACAAAAAAGGTACAGTGCATAAAAGAAATCGTCGAGGATTTATACCTTTGTATGTTTCATAATTTATGTACGATCATATATACATATAAATATATATATGTATAAGAGTCGAGGAGTCGAGAGTTCGAAGTAAGTTATTTTAGCCGGTTTCAAATGCATGCATATGTATATCTATAAATGAGAGGAATGATTAAAAATGTAGAGAGAGCCAAGCGCAGCCACACAAAAAGACAAGGAACTCTCATTTAAAATTCCTATACCATAAACAGTCAGCCAGCTAGACAACCAACCAACCAGTCAACTAACAAAGCAACTCATCGTCTAAAAAAAAAAAAAAAAGTCATAGTAAAAATAAAAAAAATTTAGTTTACATTTTATTCTCATTTAAATTTACTTTCTTTACATTATTTACTTTTTTTATTTTTTATTCGTATAGACCGCAAATTCCCTTTGATATTTCTCATGCCTAAATGCTTACTTACTACCTTTGCACTGCAGTCTATGGACTTTGACTCGCCATTTGAGACTTAGTTGTTCGCAATGCAAGCCTTTGTGTTGTTCACCTTGCTTCCTATTTCAGTTATTTCTCTCACACAGAAATTACCTTGAAACTATTAAAGCATATTACAAATTTCTCTTTTTCTTCTTCTTCTATTTTTGCTTCGTCTACATTACCTCTGTTTTATTGTTTTTTTTTATGCTCTTCATCGTGGAGTATACAAAATTTGTGAATACATTTGCGACGCAGTATGGACTTCACTTAGTAGATGTGTTCATAAATCCTACTATCTACTTCAAAATTCAAGTATCAAATTGGTTTATATACCTTAATACAAAATTCATAATGATTCTCAAATATTTTGCATTTTAAAAACAGGGACAAACTCTTACTATAAAGCACATTCTCTGCGACTGCCTCAACTTTTCCTTGGCTAGAAGTATTGCATTTGGAACGATTAACCCTTTGAACATTCTACAATCAACTTCAGAACAGAATATCAATTCAATATTTTACTTTATTAATACTACTAAGCTTATTATCTAATATCCATTTATTTAAATTAGAGCCGATAGCCTGTGTTGCTAGTGCTCGATGTCTCTTCTTTTAGTCTAAGAATTCAATTCATTAGTCTAAAATTAAAATAATAAATAATAATAATAATAAATAAAAACAGGGAAGAAATCCTATTATATTTGAAGCAAATCTGCATCAATACGTTGTGAGTAACACACTTCACAAGTCGCATATGTCGTGTATATAATTATAATTAGTAAAGTAATTCCATTTTCCAGATTTATGCAAATTTTCAAATCAATTGCGACGATATTAACACAAATTTAAGAATAAATTTAAAGGTTAAAGGCTTTAGGTAGAAAAGAAAAACACACTATAATTGTACGGTCCCCACCAATTATGGGTAAATTTATGAGTGAATGGGTGAGGAAAAGATTGCGGATCAAGTTTGTGCCTTTACAGAAACGACCAAATGACATTTGACTATTCATGCAGATAGAGCATTTCCTCAAGCATATAATGTGTGGCGTGTACGCTATGCCAATTAGGAATATTTGGCAAATCTAAAATATCCCCTAGGTGGGCGTAATAAAATGGAATGTAATTATTATTTATTATAAATTTAGCCAGAGAATAAATTCTAAGACTAAAGTCTTAAAGCACTACCATCTAAGGTTTTCAGCTTTATTAAGAACTCTACCGCACTTGAGATTTGAACCCACGACCATTGAGTTGATAGTCGAGACTCTTGCTTACTGGGCCACTCAAGCGGATTTGGAATGTAATTAATATGACTTTTTGCTTAGGCAATTAATTATCTATGGGACCTGCTGTACGATATACGATATTCTCAATAACGTTCATATTCCCATCTTATAGTCGAATATCTTCTGTATTCTAGCGACTACCGCAGGCAAAATCAAATTTTTTTAAAAGCTGAATAGAACTTTTTACTCAATGCTTCTTTATACATACTCTCAAGAATGTGAGATTTGCGAATATATAACACACCCAGAAATATCAGTCCGACACAATCCTTTCTTCTTCTTTCTTTGTCATTATTATTGTAATTTATTTAGACCAAAGAAATGAATATTGCATTGAAAGTTGAATGACCATTAGCAACCAAGAAAAGGCATAGCTCGCTTAGCATGAGTAATTTGTAATGTGTTTTATTGAAATCGTGTTATAGGAAACTTTTTCATATATTTTTTTTTTTATTGAAACTAAGATATCCTATAGGATAACATAATTTATGCTCAGATATAACATAAATCAAACAAAAAATTTGTACCGTGTAGTATCGAAACCGTATTACAATGCTTACAAATGTTGTATCTTAGTGTATCGTGATCGTGCTTTACAAGCACCATGTTAAGAACGGGACGTTTGTATTTATGTTTATGATGAATATTTAATTGTCTCTATCTGTATTCGTCGTCCATATATATGCGCTCTGTTGGCCGTGAAAATTGAGAAGTTGAAATTTGACATATACGGACATCTTAATTGATGGTCATAGATCAAGTTTTAAGACGGTTATGACTTACGTAAAGCCACATCATTAGACAAAACGCTGTAAATTGTCTTTTACTGAGTAAAAAAATACCAGCGTGAAACCAGTGTAAAAAAATTTGGCCCCTCTTAACCTGACTAGCTAACTAACATGCCCGCTTTTAATAAAATATTTTGCATTTCTAACGTGTTAATTTCCAATGGTGATGGGTATTAAATATTCGCCGTAAGACTAATATATGTTTCCGTTCTTTTTTTTTTGTTTTCAAATAGTTATTCTACCATAGGTACTCTGTATTTGTACGTTTGCTTGAAGTTGCTGTTATTTCCACATTTCTTTTTTATATTTACTCTCCTCCTGTTTCAAGTGCATTCATATTTATTTGTAACAATTGGTCGCTATAGTAGTAACCGTTTTTGTTAGTTGGTGTTCGTTAGTTGGCGTGGTTTTTGTTAAAGTATAGCCGTTTCATTAATGTTTTTCCGTGTTCCATATGTTTTTTATCATTAATTTGTATTTGTGTGTAAACAAGCTCTCTCTCTCTCTCTCTTACTAAAGTATTTCGCAAGAGACAGATTTGTATTTATTATAACGTGGCGTGTGCAGGGAATAGTTTCGGGCATGGTTTTGCTGGTGTTTGTTGATGTTACTATAACCATTAATGTCTGCCACCCTTGTACGTGTTTGTACATTTTGCTTGCTGGTTTTTCATAATCGCATTCCATTAAATAAAGTGGGATGCTTGCGGACAGCTATCATTTTCAATAGAATTATTAGTATCCCGTACAAGAGAGAGTGAGAGAGAGTAAGTGAAGAGAGAAGAGAGAAGAGAGAGAAAGATGTAATTAATTGTTTTTAAATAATATTTTTTGAATTTCCTTAATGTAATGTATTGGAGCAAAGTAGCAATTATATCTTTCCTAAATATATAATTAATGTGAAGACGACAATTTCCTAATTTTGTTCAATGAGGAAAAGAACACTAAAGAACACATTTGCTAGTCGTTCGCTTGCATTGCTCTTGATTACGATCTTCAAAATATTTCTCGCAGTCGGTAACTAGAGAATGCGGACAATATTAACCAACGAATTGTTTTCTTTATGACATTTCGATTATTTTGTAAGTTGAACACACGTTTCGCTTATTAACCATCCGTTAACGTAAAAATTTTGTAAGTTTTGCACGTAATTGTAAATCCTAAGATTTGGCTAGTTAGGTGCCGAGTTCTCTTTTTATTAAATTTTATTACTAGTTTCTGGATTTCTTATCATGCAGCAACATTTACAAAATTTTTTATATAAAAAATCTGAATCGTCATTTATGTCAGTTTTGACCGGCTAACCCTTTTTTGAAAGATTAATCTAACCTGCTATCTGACTAGGGAACCTTGGGCCGGTTTATCATACATCGATATCGAGTGAACTCGATCGTAATTTTTATGTCTTTAGATTTATATTTGATTACGGCAGTCGATAAAGTATACATTTTTCTTACTATCGAGTTGACCATAAAATTGCTGCCAAGTAGCATGTTCAACAAGTAAATCAAGTAAACTACAGTTACGCACATGTTTGATATAATTAATGGTTGTAAAGAATACCTAACCTTATTAGAGATGGAGATGCGTAAAAATTGGGAAAAGCAAATTACTTTCAATGCTTTTATCGTCTAATACGATAAAATAAAAACAAGTAACAAAATTGTAGTCGGGCAAAGACGACCATTATTTACCCTGTACCACATTATCTAACATAGTTCTGAATTTATTCTAAAAAAAAATAGTTTTTATTTTAGTCTTGTTTCCATATAAAGGTAAATTTTTCAAGTGCGTATTTATAGAAAATCGAGCCCAAAACGCAACCTAATGTAGTGCAATTTTAACCGTTAGATAGGGGTCAGAGCGCTAAAATAGGCGAAGATGCTCCAAATTTTGTAGAGTTCATTTTTGTATGAAATTCCTACAACATTATGGGTCAATTTTCATCACCATATATTACAATTTAGACTTTTCTGCTCTACAAAGGGTCAATTTTCGTGAAAATCCGTATTAGGATACGATCCAAAAGAGGGGACGTGCAGGTCTCAGTTTGGTATATTTAATTTTTTTATGCTAAATTACTATTGTGATATAATTTTCTTCGTGAAGTATTGTCTGTACAAGTAAATTTGTGTTCAAGCTACAAGTCGCAATTTTTCAAATTTTTCGTTGATTTGATTCAAGAGCGAACGCTATTGAAAATGGTTCGAATT